GATGTGGGAATGATGGCTCCACAGTTTGACTCCTGCGAGCTTCACAGCTGTGTGAGTGCTGAGAGCACAGTGAAGGGTCCAGTCCACTTAGGCTGTAACGGGAGGTCCTTCCACTTTCGAATTAGCACCTGGTCGCTGGGCTGGAAAGCATGCGCGGCTGTCTCAAGAGGGAACTTCTGCTGGATCCACACTGCTGGATCCACACCACCAGATGCAACTGGGAAAGAATTTTGGTAAGAGAAAGCAAACATTTAGACACCATTACCTCAGAGGGCTGGGTGGAGGACTGCGGGGAGAGTTGGTTGAGACAATATGGTATCTCCTAAAGTATTTCAAAAAGGACTGATTTTAAGTTTTCCCTGGGGTGCAGTATGGACTCAGAAGAGGGCCAGTGTCAGGACTTCTGTCCAGGGTAGCCTTGTCTCTTGGCACAGTTTAGTAAGATGACATTTTATGGTCTGATTCATTCTTTCAACCTTTCCACTAGATTGGGGTCTCCATGTTGTGTGGAGTTGCCACTTTATTCTTAAGACAGTTGAAACCTGTTGTACTGCTCTCTTGCCATCTCAGTCCAGCAGGGAAAAGCCTCTGCCTATCCTGAAAAAGAATCTACACACACCAGTAAATATCTCATCCGATGTTTAGTTTTGAACACTTTACAAAAGTCGGTTTGCCGTATTTCACCTCAAAACGGTCCTATTCCTTGAAGGTCAGAGATCTTGGGCCCATAAGTCTCTGGATAATGTCTTTTTTGTTCCAATACTACAGTCACTTCGTGAGGGACAAACGCGACAGTATTATGTCCCAAAGTAAATTTGTTAGCATCCTTTATGATAGTGCTAGCTGCGGCAACTGCTCGGAGGCAGGCCGCTCAGAGGCAGGCTGGCCAGTCTTTTGAGAAAGTGTCCAGATTTTTTAGAGAAGTAGGCAACAGCGTCTTCGCGGTCCCAACAACTGGGTTAATATACCAATGGCCACTCCTCTTCTTTTCTCATCTATATACAATTGGAAGGGCTTTTGATAATCTGGCAGCCCTAGGGCTGGGGCTTTCATCATCTGGGACTTTGAATCACAAAAGGCTTGTTGACACTCAGGAGTCCATTTGAAAGGATCTCTCTCTACACCCTGAGTAGCCTGATAGGCTAGGCTGCAGATGGTTTCTGTGAAGAAACCTAGGCATTTTAAACCTCTGTGAGGTCAGCTTGTAACTATCCAGCTTCGGCCAGAAAATTTAAGACAGTCACAGTATTTGTGACGGAGTCTTCCTCAGGCTTGCTTCCTATCAGGAGGTCTGTGCACATACTGAAAGACCACTCCTCAGCTGAGGGAAGGCAGACACTCTAGATCCTGGGTCAGCACTGTTCCAAAAATAGTGAGGGGGTTCTTAAACCCTTGGGGTAGCACAGTCCAGCAGAGCTGTTTTCTTTCTTTTGTCACTTTCCCATTTGGAAGCAAAGATCAGCTGGTTGTCATCTCAGCAGCCAGCGGGACACAAAAGCATCTTTTAAATCCAAAACAGTAAAATGAGTACAGGAAGGTGGGAGAGCCGATAGTAGGGTGTGTGGATTCAGGACTACTGAGTGTAGGGTCCTCACAACTTTGTTAACATCTGCCAAATGGTACTCACTGGTCGACGTCTTCTTTACTGGCAGAGCAGGAGTGTTGAATGGGGATGGCACTCTCGCAACAGTCCCCACTTCAGGTATCGAGTGATTAGTCCCTGCAGTCCCAAACAAGCCTCAACTCTCAGTTGATATTGTTTAATCCGAGGAGGCCATGACATTGGGTAACAGCTCCATGACCACAGGGAGGACAGTCTGAGCTCATCCTGGCCGGCCACTGGCCCAGACCCACGGCGCCACGGCATCAACCACTCTTTGAACCGTGGGTGAGACGGACGCAAGGGATAGCACCGGTTGGGTGAGGGTTAAGAGAGCTGCTTGCACTTTCCAGGCGTTTGCTGGCAGTACTGTTAGAGACAGGCCTTTTTATCAGAAGAGATTTCAGCACGCTCTTTACTTAGGAAATCTTGCCCTAAAAAGAGGGACCAGGCATTTGGACATGTATAGAAACTGGTGGGATAGTTTGAGTTCCCCTATTTCACAGTCCATTGTCTATAAAAAGTATCAAGTTGCCTTTTTCAACTCACCCCGACAACTTGAGTACTGCTGGTCGAGGCAGTCCCTTTAGGCTTCTGGGTGAGTACCAAGAAGCCTTCTCCGGTATCAGCCAGAATGTCTACCGGTTGTTCTCTCACCATAACTTTTACCAGGGGTCGGTAGGAGGTAAATCAAAAGTTGTCTCCCCCTGTCTTCATCCTTCAGAGTCCTCCTCCTGCTCTTTCATAATTCCTTGAAAAAGCTTCTCCCCCCTTTCAATCTTGCCTGGCCTTCTTCCGTTCTTTCTTTTCGGGCACTCATTTTTCCAGTATCCCTCCTCTCTGCAAAATGCACATTGGTTTTTCTTTAATCAGGGCCCGTCCTTACCTTGGTCTCGTCGCCTTCCTCCAGACAATCCTGGAGCAGCAGCCTGTTTTTTCATGTCCTGGTCTTTTTCTTTTTTTTCTCTCGGCGTCTTTTACCTGATCTCTGTTGGTAAAGATTTTAAATGCGTTCAGTCATGGCATGTGGGTCGACCGATACTCCGCAAAGTTTTGCTTCCAGTTGTACAAATTGGATGCTGGGAATGGTTTATGGACCCACATCATCTGAAGTGGGCCTTTCTGCAGCGGGTACTGGCACCTCCCAGAGTGAGTAAAGCCCTCCTGGGGGAACTGGGCCGAATTATACTCCACTCCTAGTATGGGGTAGGAAGACCATATCTGTCCCACATCCTCCGCCTCCCTTTAACACCTTCCTGTCCCCATCTTCTGGGAGGGGTCACGAACAAGTGTCGAGGGGGTTTTTCTGAGGTGGGGGAATGAAGAAGAACATCCTCCGGTTCTTCGTCTCCTACCCCGTCATCATCATTCACCTGCACAAGAGGGGCTAAAACAGAGGTTTTATCCTTTTTTCATGCCATAAAGTCATAAAACATTCTACATACAGCTGTTTATCTCATTTGTTAATTCAAGTACAAAACAGATCAAGCTTCATAATGGTACCAAAATCTCTAAAACCATTTTAAAGTTCACTTAACCCCACCTGGGAGCTGGCATTGAGGCCACACCTGATTACACGAACCTTTAAGATGTCTCTTAGTTAGGCGATCCCTTCCCAAATAAGTCCAATTCCTGGTGGACTCTGGGAACCTTATTTTCCTGGGTACCCACTTGCAACCGGGGAACCTTACCTGTCTCTTGTCCAACCTCACGGGACCTAGTCACCCGTTCGTGGAGGGAGTCTATGAGAACCGACGCCCTTGCAGCTTTTACAGAAGATTTACCACCTAATGCCCAGTTACCTCCCATGGCCAATGGAAACTTTCTCCCTCTGTCCAGAGCTCGCTGCCGTGGAGTCCTCCCCCATCCCCAGATCTCTGGGCCACCACAGGTTGAGAGGCCTCCACAGTTTGAGGAGGGATGCACCTTCTCTCTTCCCAGGTCCTTCCCAGGGCTCGGTCCGTAGGGAGACGGAACCAGGGCCTGAGTAATTCGAGCCCCACATTGGGCGCCAAAACTTTGTTACCCGAGTAGGATCCGTGCCCTGGAGCAGTCGAGCCAATGAAACACACTCCAACTCAGAAAGAGAAAGAAAGTTTTAACTTAGAAAGTGTACACCACCGAGGATCCTACAGCAACACAGGCTGTCCTTAGGGAGTCCAAAAGACATTTTTACATCAGAGCTTATATATGATTTTTACAAAGGTTAGAAGTGTTGTTATTCACTCCAAGATAATTAGAAGAGACTGTTTATCATACTAAAGAGATAGGGAACTGGACATTTCCTTATCAGGCTAAAGATATAGGTCTCTGACAGCTGGACTCTAATCTTCCTGTGGGGGATCCTAAGTCATAAAACAGAGTCATTAACAAAGGTATGCACAAAACAGAGCCATTAAGGAAGGTATGGGAAAAGGGAGAAGGCAAAGAAAAAAGAAAAAAAACTACTTACAGGTTCATTATGGCGTTAGTTATGTCAAGCCCTCAGTTGCCCATTCTGAAAAGGAGAAAACATGCTGGGGAGTATTCGGGTCACACTATGAGTCAAAATCCACTTGACAGCAACAGGTTTGGTTTTCGTTTCCTCAGTGCCACAGGAATGAACTTTCTCTCAAGGCCTGGGCTTTTTTTTTATGCATCCACTTCTGACAGTTGAAGTATGTTAAGGGAGTGGTTCTTAAACCAGCAGCATGGCCTCACTGAGGAACTGGTTAGAAATGCAAATTCTCAGGGCCTAGCAATCTGTGTTTTAACAAGCCTTCAGGGTAATTAAGATATATGCTAAATTTTGAGAGTGTCTCCTTAGAGAGAGAATTCTTCCTTAGCCTGAGGAGTCTAGCTTCTTTTCACATAAAACAGCACAGAGGGTTTACCTGATGTTTTAAATGTGGTTACTCGTTCCAGCTCCTGAATTTAGAGTTTATTCCTCCTTTCAGAGTGCCAGTTGTTCATCTTGTCTCGTTCAGAGAGCTTTTGAAAGGCAATTTTCTTCATAATGTCCACGAGGTGAAAAATTCCTTTTTTTTTTTTTTTTTTTTTTACCTCTTCTGACTCTAGTTGTTATTTATTTTATTAAATAACCAAAAATGAATGTCTACTATGTCAATATATATTGAAAGTTTAGTTGTAGCTGTACATTCACCTCTTAGTATGTCATAGAGTTGAATACTAGTTGTCCTTTTAGATTTATATATTTGTTGACTGTCTGATTTAAATAATCAAATATTAGTGAGTAAAGGATTATATATTATTAATGCATAACAAATGAAAAGTGAATATTTATTGATTTCCCTACCACATGCATTCACATATTATCAATATTCCTCATAGGATAATAAGAAATGTTAATCTTTTAGTTGTATCCACTGAGAATGAGTTTTGAATTCTTTCTTTATTCCAGATTCCTTTAAGATGCACAAAGATGATGGCCTGGAAGATTTTCTGTTCATCCCCAGTGGAACAACCAATGCCTCAACATTTACAGGGCAAAATGATCCTTTGAAAGACATCTATGGTATGGTTTCTTCAACTGGATTTATTTCTTAACTCCAGATGATCAATATGGCCCTTCACCTACCATCTTTGAACTTAAATACTAGGCAAAATCATGTGCAGGGGTTCTGTCTGTGACAAGACTCCCTCTAGTCAAAGAAGAGAATTTACAGTTAGGCAGCTCAGGGAGTGCTCACTTCTTCCTCAAAAGACTTCTTGTTGTTCTTCCCACTCACAGCGACCCTATGTACAATGGAACAAAACACTGCCTGGTCCTGTGCCATCGTCAACAGTCATTGCTATGTGTGAGCCCATTGTTGCAGCCACTGTGTCAGTCCATCTTGTTGAGGGTCTTCCTTTCTTCGCTGACCCTCTGCTTTACCAAGCATGATGTCCTTCTCCAGGGACTGTACCCTCCTGACAACATGTCCAAAGTATATGAGATGAAGCCTCGCCATCCTCACTTCTAAGGGGTATTTTGGCTGTACTTCTTCCAAGACAGATTTGTTCGTTCTTCTGGCAGTCTGTGGATATTCAGTATTCTTCGACAACACCGTAATTCAAAAGCATCAATTCTTCTTCAGTCTTCCTTATTCATTCTAAGTCAGAGGACGTAGAGTTCTATAGTCTAGGGCCAAATTTTATCTTCACATTTTACTATCTCATGGCTTTGGGCAAATTATTAACTTCCCTAAACTTTGGTTTCGTTATCTATAAAGGGAGGCCAGTACTAGTTCCTACCTGAAAGATGGTGGCAGTGATTAAATAAAATTATGTAAAAGCACTTAGCGTAGTGCCTGACACTATGTATATATTAAACAGATCTAAGTTATCAGTACTAGTGTCCTCACTTCTGGCTTTATGCTAACTTTTATCATGAAGGTGGTCAGGGTACCTGTCATCAAATCCCACTTCAAACAATGCTGATAATTTATATTATCTAATTTATCTAATTATGTAATTATAATCATTAGATCCTGACTAATGATGTTGTGATTATGTTTTTCTTTGGACTGAAGATCTCTTGGGGTGGGGGGAAGGATGTTGAATGGGTGAACTGTTGCTATCTGCCTAATCTCCTGATATATTGGTTTTAGCTCTGACTCCTATTCTTTCAGCTCACTGGCAGGAATCATATGCTTTTAAATCCCCTATTCTATCTGGCCCAGCACATCATAAAGATAATACTTTTATACTTGTCTAGTTCTTAATAATATATGAAGAATTTTCACAAAATTGTCTTCTAATGTTGGAGAGGGAGGTGTTAATATTTTACAGATGAAGAAATTAAGGCTCACACAGTTCCTTGCTGTACACTGTATTATGTAGATTGTGATATTGGAGCTAGAGGTCAATCTTTGATATTTTAAATCTTTGTAATGTGCTATAGAAGGCAGCCATTAAATGTTGCCATAAATGTTGATTAATGGTGCTACAGGAGTATAGTGATACTATACCTCCTATTAACAATTAGCCAAAACCTGAAGAATTTCAGTAGTTTTTCCTTTAAAACTTTCTTGCTTTGTTTTTCATTAATCCTTATGTCTATGTTTTCATGGCTTTATATATAGCTGATTCTAAATATCAAATGCCTTTTTTCCTCAGTGTTGACCAAGTTTCAAAAATGTCTTTGTTTATGTTTCAATATTAGGTATGCCTCACTGTGACACATTTGCTTCAGCAACTGGTGATGTACACCAGGGGTGGCTGATGGAAGCCCCAGATTCCCCACACTCGGCATCCTTCATTTCCCCAGAGTCTATTAAACAACCTCTGCAGCCCACAGAAGGTAAATGATTAGAACACTCCTTTATCTGTTAATGGTTACAGTATCGATAATCTGTGTAAATCAACCAGACATATTTTCTTTAGCAGCTCACACCACATAAAGATAAAAATTTTAGAATTATCACAAATATTTTTAAGCTTTTATGACTGATAAATCAAGTCCCTAGGTGGCGCAAACAGTTTGCGCTCAACTGCGAACCTAAATGGTGGCAGTTAGAACACACCCAGTGATGCTGCAGAAGAAAGGCCTGGTGAACTGCTTCCATTAAGATTATAGCCAAGAAACCCCTATGGAGAAGTTGTGCTCTATAACACATGGGGTAGCCATGAGTTGGAATTGACTTAACAGCAACTAACAACAACATTACTGATATCACAGCTGGAGGAATTATAGCTGAATTACATCACTTGGGGTCAATGGGCAAAATAAATCCCGTCTTAATTCAATGCAGATTTAAAACTTTGCGGTTCTTTCTTTAATAAGGATTACTGACCAGCTGCCTCACAAGGTTCCCTTTCTAATACTAATCGTGTACTGTTTTTTTGTTCTGTTTTATTTTTTTAAAACCTATGTTTTCTTTGTCCTTTGCTTTTCTTCCCTGCACTACATATCCTCCCAGTACCCTATTCTTCTGAGTATTGGGACTATCAAACAGTAGGCAGAAATTCATTAATTGGGCAGCTTCTTAGTTATGTTTAGGGTGTTATGGTCACAAAAGCAAGATACTCGTCTGCTTAAGAAAGTAAGCTTTGAATGCAGAATTTTCAGTAGACAATGATGGGTCCTAAATTTCTAACTTATTTTCCTTAGAGCCAGCCAAGGAAGTAGAAGTAGCATCAGCAAAAGAGAGGACACCCACAGAAGTATTAGAAATACTGCCACCTAGAGAAACAGAGATAGCCCCTGCCAAGGATGTGGGGCCAGCTACAGAAACAGAGATGGCATTGGCTAAAGACATGGAACCCTCCACCAAATCAGATGTGGCACTGGCCAAGGACACGGAACCTTTCATTGACTCAGATTTGACTCTAGTCAAGGACATGGTACTACCTAAAGAAACAGAGGTGGTCCCAGGGAAGGATGTTGTCTTGCCTACAGAAACAAATGTATCTTTGGACAAGGACACGGTACTATCCACAGAAACAGCAGTAACCCTGGGCAAGAATTTGACACTGTTAAAGGAAACAGAGGCAGCACTGCCTATTAAAATGGATTTGGCCTCAGCTGAGGGTATGGTGTCACTCTCAGAAATAGAGGTGGCAATGGCTAAGGACAATGTAACATCCGCAGAAATATCCCTGGCCAAGGAGTTGTCCCTGTACCCAGAGACAGAGGTGGCTCTTGCCAGCGCTGTGACACTGCCCGCAGAAACCAAGGTAGTCCTAACCAAGGATGTGGCTCCACCCCCAGAAGCAGAGGTGACCTTGGTCAAGGATACGGCTCCGCCTCCAAAAGCAGAGGTGGCCCCACTCAAGGTTTTGACTCCATCCGCAGAAACAGTGGTAGCTCCAGTCAAGGATGTGGCTGCATCCCCAGAAACAGAGATGACCCCGGCCAAGGGTATGGCTCTGCCTCCAGAAACAGAGGTGGCCCCAGTTAAGGATGTGGCTCCATCCTCAGAAGCAGAGGTGGCCCCAGTCAAGGATGTGGCTTCATCCTCAGAAACAGAGGTGGCCCCAGTCAAGGACTTGGCTCCATCTCCAGAAACAGAGGTGGCCCCAGTCAGGGATGTGGCTCCATCCTCAGAAACAGAGGTGGCCCCAGTCAGGGATGTGGCTCCATCCTCAGAAACAGAGGTGGCCCCAGTCAGGGATTTGGCTCCATCCTCAGAAACAGAGGTGGCCCCAGTCAAGGATGTGCCTCTGCTCCCAGAAGAGGTAGCTCTGGTCATGGGCATGCCTCTGCCTCCAAAAACAGAGGTAGCCGTGCCTAAGGATGTGGCTCTGCCCTCTGCAACAGACGTGACCCAGGCCAACAACTTGACTCCAACCAAGGATGTTGCACCACCTTCAAAAGCAGAGGTGACACCAGCTCCAGTTCAGGATGTGGAAATTGCACGGACACAGGAAGGAATAAGTGAGGATTCCCAGTTAGAATCTCTCCAGGATGAGGGGCAGTCAGTTGCACCTACGTCTGTGATTTCACCAGGTATGGTTTTATGCTTGCTGTCAGTATTTCTGTCTACAACAGTGTAGTCTCCAGAAGAATAATAAACAGTTATCGTTCCAGGTAAATAAAGGTAGTCACACACTGTACTTTGGAAATCTATTCACATTCCCACTCTCTTAGCTCTTTGTCACCTCAGTCCTCTCCACCCTCTAACACCTTCTCTATCTTTCTTCTCTGCTGATCTTATTTCTCTTACAGATAATTGAAGCAGTAGAGGAAAACATCCACAAACTGTCACTGCCTCATCTACCCAATTACTTGTATCTGTACCCACAAACTCTGCCTTCTCTCCTGTTACTATAAGTGAATTGCCCCTGTTCCTAATTAAGGCAGTTTTGTACTAGTGCCCATCTCCTCTTGCCTACTCGGATGTATTGCCTTAACTGTTACCTTTCTGGCCTCTTAGCAGTTTTTCCTTGTCATTGAATCATTCCCACCAACCTACAAGCAGCTGTTATTTTTCCCATCTTTAAAACAAAGCAAAAAACCCTCCCAACTCCACTTCCCAGCTACCACTCCATTTCTCTGCTGCCCATTGTAGCAGAATTCTTCACACACTATTCCTGTCTCCAATTTCTGGCAGGTGGAGAAATAGTTTCAGAAATAGTTCTTTTCTGAAATGTGGTTTTTTACTGTTACTTTTAGAACCTGTCACAGCCATGGGCCAGAAGTACAACTTGCCAACAGATGAGAATTCTGCATCAGAGAAACTAGAGCAAAAGAAACAAATCAGTAGTCAACTTAATGAACTTTCTTCAGAGACCTCAGGTAAGTCAGGAAAACAGAATGGACTTAAAAACAACTTAAACTGGAAGCAGTGGGTGGTGGTAGTAGACATTGTCTCTGTGTGGTGGTAATCGGCAGTATTATTATGAAGTCAGTTCTCTTAGATAAGTCCACTTATTGCATATTTAAAAATTACCACTAGATCAACTCAGGACACCTGAATTTTTATCCAGTTTAGCTGTTTGCTATTCTGTCCTGTGTCGTATTGGTTTACTCAGTTATAAGATGAGTAAATTGGTCAAAGTGTTCTCTGAATTCTTGCTAGTTGTAGTGTGTTCCATGGCCCGACAACATCTGGATATTCATTCCTGAGAGCTTCTTAGAAATGCAGAATTTTGGGCTCCATCTGAGATTCTGAATCATAAACTACATCTTAACAAGATCACCAGATAATTCTTGTATATATTAAAGCTTGAGAAGCACTGTGCTAAGGTACTTTCCAACCTAAAGTTCTATTATTCTATGAACTTTAAGATTACATGTTTTTTATGGTAAGCCAGAAGCATGTGCATATGATTATCAACATTATGATTCTTTGTTAACTTTTCTGTGTCTGATTAGAATGTGAACTCCTTGAGGGCAGGGGCCATGACTTATTTCACTTAGAATACCTAGTGCTTCACACATTATCTACTATCTAATAGGAGATAAATTAATGTTTATTTTTTTAAATGTTGTTTTAGTGACCCTCAATACAGTAATAAAAATTTATTGAGTGTTTACTGTGTACAAAATGTACCACACTAAGGCACATAGATATTTAAGCCCTGGTCCTTGCCCTTGGGTTATTATAGTCTGTATGAAAAGAGAAGTGCCGAGGCATGAACTCTGAAACCAAAGATTTACATAAAAAATGGAATAAAATAGTTTAAGAGATGGTACCAAGTTGCTGCTGATTAATTGCCAGATAAGTGTTATAAATGCTGTAAGGTGCTATGGCCTAGTAGCAAGTGTTTAAGAGAAACAGTAATTGACCTGAGATAGAGGTGAGGAGTTTGGAGGGGTAAGGACAACAACAAAAGATACTATTTAAATATTTTAATGTTCTTTGAAATCAGTTCCCTAGCTCAGAGTTGACAAGAGCTGTCATAGGCTGCTCTTAATGGGACACTTCCTGGGATCTTAGATCTTAGATCCATGGACTTGCCTGTGGGGAGGAGGTTGGGACCAGATGATTTCCTAAAGTCTTTCCCAGGGGTGTTCATCCTAATTGTTGTAATTCATTAGCTAACCTGCGTGACCTTAAGTATATTTCCTTTTCTTTTCTTGAAAGTGCATTTAGGAACAGAACTTGAAATGTAAAACATTTGTCTTTCAAAGTAGGATGCTCTGGATCTGGAATGATGAGTATTTTTCACTGACCAAAATACTACTTATAAGTATTTTTTGTGTGTATGTGTGCGTGCATGTGTGTGTGTAGTAGAGTAAGTCTGGCCTTCTGGTCTACTTCCCAGAATTTATCTCGTTAGTTCACAGGTATCTAATATAATGTTGGTGACAGACTCTCAGAATTGTAAATCCTGTCGAAAATCATGTAGATTTTATTCAATCAATTAATAAATGTCACCAAAAAGAGACAAGGCATGTTGCTTTCTTTTAAGCACTGAGGTCTACTGGAATATAAAGACTTGAAAGATAGCCTATAGAGGCTTACCATCTTGTTGCAGAATTGGGACTTGTGTACCTATTAAAAATAATGATAAATATAAACATCAGATAAGATTTATAGGCAGTAAGTGCTTATATAGAGAGATGAGAAGACTTCAGTTTGAATTTCATTCCTTAAGTTTTGAACATTTTGTAAACATATTTGTGAAAAATCTTTATCTGAGATGATCTATATTAAATATTTGCTAATCCCAGTTAAGGGTGAAAAATGTTTAGTTGAGGGAGGGAAACTTTTTCTAAACAAATTAATATGTGGGGTGGTGAAAATAGACTATTTAAAGAGTCACTAAATTGATTTTTTTTTTTTTTTTTTAAGAAACAATAACAAGGAGTTTTTTGTTTGGAATTTTAGCCAACTTCATGTATTGCAGGTACCCCTACCACACAAGCCAAACAAGTTTGCAGACCCAGTGACCGCAGGTCAGTCCGGCCCAAGCCTGCCAGGGTCCCTCCTGAGCTGCTGGGAGGCTATCCTCCACGGAAGACTCTTGATCCCTGGCTGGGCCCCTGCTCTTTGTCTGAGTTGGGTTGGGTCTCTGGTTCGTCTTCCTGTGGAGAGCCTGGGAACCAGAGGAAAACTATTCATGTTGACTTCCTTGAACCACAGAGGGATGTTGGCAGGGAGACCTGGGAAGTGGAAAGCACACCGATGCTGATGAAGAAAAAAAAGAAGAAACCAAAGCAAAAGAGATATTCGCAACCTCGGGCAGGGGGACTTTGGGATGATGACAGTGCAGATGAGCCTAAAAGTCATTCCTTTGCAGCTGACCCACAAAAATCAGGTGTTCTCCCCAGCCAGTCTACCACCATGGGCACAGAATATGGACCTGTATCCAAAGAAAACTTGAAAAAGGAATGTGTAGTTGACTCCAGAGCAGCCAAACTGATAGCTGAGAACTTTGTCTCAGAGAGTCTCAAAGTTCCTTTGTGTCCTTCAGAAGAACCCTTGAAAAGTGAACTAAATTCTCAGCCCAGACTGAGAGTAGAGTCAGAGGTCAAAGGCAACAAGTCAGTACCACTGAGCCAAGACAAGAAATTGCTGCAGCAAGATGAATGCAAACCACAGCCTGTACCCCAGCTGAAGACTCCTGTACCTAAAAGCCAGGAAATAAACTCTTTCAATCTGAAAGGACCCCTTTCAGAAATTTCTGCACACCATCTAGAAACTCCTTTGGAGATCAGACCCAAAGAGGGTCACTCTCCTGTTTTGAACCAAGAGGTTAAAGGTAGCATGTCAAGACCCACAACAGCAAAAGAACTGCCTAATTTGATACCTACTTTGACAGCAAATAATCCATTAGAAAGTATTCTGCAAGAAGGGGATGATGAAAGTAAAATGACTAAACTGCAGAATATCAAACAGGAACAGTTTTCTGAAGGAGCTGAAGAAGTTAAAGAACTAAAAAAGGAAGCATTTCCCAAGCAAAAGCAAGAGATCAGCGTCTTTGTTTCTGAGCAGCTGCAGGGCAAGGTGTTAGATCAGATCCCTGAGCTGGGGAATGAACCATTTAAGAGAATAGCAGGTGATGGCAAGAGCAGGAAGGGAAGGGGAAGTTCTGGGAAGGTGAGAGCAAATTCTGGGAAAGTGAGAGCAAGACCTGAACTGTCATGTCCTATAGACAGCCAGAAGTACAGCATGGCTGATCTTGTGCCAAGTGAGCCAGCCCTAAAACCAGAACAAATGGCTGCTGGGGGTAAAAATGAGGAGCTGGGGCTAGATTCTTCAAAGCAACCAGGGACCATGGCTGATCTCATTGAGGCAGTGGTGATGGGGGAACCTAAGGAGAAGACTGACCCTATGGTGCCATTGATTCCTTTGGGAAATCAGTCGGGCATAACTCAAATTTCTGGTGGTAGCACAGAAAGAGGAGCCGTGGCCATAGATATGGGTGTCAGTAACCAGAGCAAGGAAGGAAAGTGTCCTTGGATGGATTCTGAGGCAGCTCCCTGGATTTCTGAAAAGCCTAAAAAAAGAGGCAACGAAGGCAAAAACAAAAAGTTTAAAAACAGTTATTCCATACAGCCTGCTAGAATGGAGAGCAAGGCAGAAATCCTCCGTCCACCTTTTGAAGGTAATGATGGAGCTGCTGGTAGTAGTCCCCATAAAAACAAGGAGTTAGGACTCAGTTTCCCCAAAATGCGTGATCCTTTGTTCTCTGATACATCCAGTACACCCACAGTGGAATTAGTTGACAGAAAGGGTAGAAATGTTGAGGCTAGTTCTTTTGAGCTTGGGGCTTTGTCAGAGAACAAAACAAGCACAGTCAAGGATTGTGCTGTTACTCAGTCAGCAGCCATGGTGACAGATGTGAGCTGCCAAGACCAAATCCAGGGGGTAGAATTTATTCCTTTAGTATTGTCTGAGGAGAGTAAGACAGATGCAGCTAAGGAACAGACTGCAGTGGCTGACAAACCAAATAAAAGGAGTGATGATGGAAAAAGTAAAAAGGTTAAAAATAATTTTCCCCAGAAGCACATTCTAGAGAATAAGATAGATGCAGCAAAAATACATGTTCCCATGGAAACCACAGAGGACCACAGAATTGAAGGACTGGGCTATGTGGACGAAAATAGAAATATTACATTTACCTGCCCCAGAATACCACCAGGGTTGATGAATAAGTCAGCCCCTCTAGAGGCTATGGAATCAGCAGCCAATGAAAAACTGCCCATTTCTACTCCTCAAGTAGTTAAGGAAGGTGATTTCTTTCCAGATACTTTGGCAGAAAGTGGGCAAGAAGCAGCCCCAGCCCAAATTTCCAAATTAGTGGTAGTAGATGACTGCAGCAAAGATGGAGTCCCAGATCAAGAAAGACCCAAGGCTCCCTCTACTGTTATGCCTTCTACAAACACAGGAGTTGCCCTAATTTTCCCAGCAGCCATAGAAACAGTTGGCAGCCATGGGAATCACTATTCTAAGAATAAAGGTGAGCTTGCTTATCCTATGAAAAATGAAGAAGGAATAAATGGAGGGCATGTGGTAGGAAAATCTGAGTCAGTGCACAGTGGTGCATCTGAGCATTTAATAGAGAAAACCACAGAGCCTGCAAAAGGCCACGTTCTTCCTAGAGCACCAGAAGACCATAGCCTACCAGGAGAAGTCAGAGTCCTAGAAGCATGTGCAGATAGGGGTAATTTTCCAGCATGTCCAGTGAAAAAAGAAAAAGAGACCGAGGAAGGGTCTGCTCCAGCTCAAATTCCTGGTTTACTGGGAGACAAAGCACAAAAGCCCAGTTCCTGTGAGGACCAAAATGCTGAATGTAGAGATTCCAAGGACTCAGATAGTTTGAATAAGGGGGTGGATGTAACTCTTTTGCCTGCAAAAAGTAAAAAGGATGAATTGAAAGAAATGAGTCTGGCTTGTAAAATCACAGAATTGGAATATGCTTCCTTGGTAACACGAGACCTCCAGTCAAATTTCTTATGTGGCGAAGTTGAAGCTCCCCCTTCTGGAATGGTAGATGAGTTAGTAGTGACTGCTCCCAAGGGTCTTCAACTCCCAGAACCCAAAGATAAGATCTTGGAGGCACCTCTGAAAAGAACAGAAATATCTGAACCTGTGGCACTGGGAGAAGGGAAGAAAGAAAATAAAAGCAGAATGGCAGAACCAGTGAAAGGCTACATGAGACCTACCAAGTCCCGGGGACTTACTCCACTTCTGCCAAAGTCTACAATCCAGGAACGAGAGCGATCCAAGCAACGGAAGTCCATTGGTATGAACCAGCCATTGCTGGGGAAATGCGTGTGCTTGAGGCTTTTGAGTCAGCATCAAAAAGGCAGAAAGCTCGTGCCTTGGTTCCATTCAAACTCTAATCATCCTTGTTAATCATTGGTTTGTTGGCATGGACATCTATGACTACTAATTGTGTGCTTTCTGTAACCAAGGCATGCCTTGTGTCCAGCTTGATGAGGCTAGTGACTTGGTTGCATGTCTTTATTACCCAGCACTCAACCTTGAGTTTTAAGATTAGTTAAATTTCCAACAGTAAATTGTTTAGCAGAAGGTCTGTCACAATCCAGCTATTCTTAATTTAAAAAAAAAAAAACAAAAAAAAAATTTTGCCTCTTGTGTGCAAAGTTTACAGTCAGATTTTAATCATTTGGTATAAGGATTCACAAGAGGGAAGAAAACATTTCACATCCAGCTGTGTTCATGAGATTTTTTTGTCAGTGTATATATAGGTTGTGCTGGTGGGAATAAATGTCCAAATTGCTTTTGGAGTAAATGAAAATGGTCTTCCCCGTTATGAGGAAATGGTAGCCTCAAATCAGCATTGGTAGGCACAGACTTTATGTTTTAGTAGTGGAAAATGACCTCTCAAGTGATGCAGCTGCATCCTTTGACCAGTGTGTTGCTTATAGCCATTGGCCCACAGTTGCATGTGGATTAGAGTTTGAGGCATAGCCTATTGTCCATGAAACAGAGTAAAACTTGCCCATATAGGAGTCTTCATAATTTTACCATTTTTGGCTCTAAGCAATCAAGTAATTGGGATGAGATTAGGAAGACTGCCTTAAGATTTTGAAATGTTAGCCTTTTTTCCCCTGAAAAGTGTACATTTAATCAGGGCTTCCCTGAATCTAGCCTTCAAAGAATCTACTTCCTGGCCTTTGAGGTTTTTCACAGCCTACAAGTGACACTATTTCTTAATCACTGTTTCCCAGCTTGCATGATGCAGCTACTAACTCTAGAAATAAGAAAAACACCACTTGGTCTTGGTAGCCAGTCAGGATTTTGTGAGACTTCATCTTGGGATTGTTCTGCATGGTGTGGACTTGTTCCTTTTGGGTAAAGCTTGCACTATGCATGAATTTGTATCCAGTAAAGAATATTTGGGGTGTGAGTGGAGAATACTAAAGGTTGTTAGTTGCAGAAGATACTGTCATCTTTTTGTTTTTATCTTTCTTCTATTAGCAACCCTATTACCAGGGGAAAAAATGAAGTAGTATGTATAGGACTTTCCAACATCTGTTAAGAATCTCTATCCAGTTGTTTAGTTTTGGTTTCTAGACCAGTTCTTCAGTTTCAGCTGTGATACAAAGGACAACATGTAAATTTTGTGAAAACCTAGCCATCTCTTTTTGATCAGTATTTCCGAAGAAATGCATAAAGAAGATGTGTTCTTATTCATGAGGAAACAAGGCAGGTGCTGCAGAGCTTTTGGGGCCTTTCTTGGCCAGGCCAGGCACAGAGACTACATTTAGGAGTGGCCCTGTAGAGTAGCGAAGGGGAGGGTAATAGATTATGACAAAATTTATTGCTGCTTCTCTAGGTTCTACTATAACATCTTTTTTCTAAGGACAGTCTATACTTTTTTTTTAATAGTTAAATTTTTTTTTTTTTTTTACTTATTTTTAAATAGGTAATACACACACATGGGAGAAAGGGGTATACAGTAAAATGTAAGTCCTTCTCCCTGCATTAACCCCAATCCAAGTTTGTCTGTCCAGAGGCAACTAATGTTACCAGTATCTTATACATCCTTCTAGACAATTTATGCATAAACAGGCAATGACATATATTTCCTGATTTTTTTTTTTACAAAACAGATACACATACTGCTCTGTGCCTTAAACTCAACCATATACCTTAGAGATCTTTCCAAATCAATACAAAGAAAAGGGCCTCATTCTCTTGTAATAGCTATATAGTATTTGATTGTACAGATGTACCCTAATGTATTTTACCATTTCTTTATGGATGAACATTTAGGTGTTTTCCAGTTCTTTTCTTTTACAGACAAGGTGCTTTGACTATTCTTGTATATATGGAATATCATACTTGTGTAATAAAAAAAGTGCTCTGGGGTGGAATCTCTGGTTGAAGAATATATACATTTGTAATTTTAATAGGTGTTGCCAAATTCTCCCCATAGAACCACAAAACTGTACCAGATTTATACTGCCACCAGCAACATAGATGAGTATTTTCCTATGCTTTCTCTACTAGTGTGATTTTTTTTGTCGTTATTATGTGTGTTCATCTAATAGGTGAGAAGTTCTCAGCATAGATTTTTGTTTTATTTCTTTAATGACTTCTTTGTGTGTTGTCAAGTTTATGAAAGCCACCTCACTGAATTTTTTGAAATTTTTGATTTTTTACATTTTAAATCTTTAATCATTCTGGAAGTTGCTATCTTGTATGTTTGTTTATAAGATGTGAGGTAAGGTTACTTGGTCATCCCACTGTCATTTTTTGAATAACCTGCCTTCCACTGAAGTCCTTTTCATAGACAAAATTCCTGTTTGTATTTGGCGTATATGTAGACTTTCTTTTCTGATCTGGTGGGCTTTCTATTCAGGCTTCAGTAACACAGTGTGGCTTAATAATACATTTTAATATCTAATCACCCCCAAAAAATAAAACCATTGCCATTGAGTCGATTCTAACTCATAGCAACCCTATAGGACAGAGTAAAATTGCCCCATAGTGTTTCCAAGGAGCAGCTGGTGGATTTGAACTGCTGACCTTTTGCTTAACTGAATGCTTAATCACTGCACCACCAGGGCTCCTTAATATCTAATAGGGCTAATATTAATATTTGATAATATATTTTAATATCTAATAGCCCCACCCCTTGCCCTATTGTGTTTCCTTTTTAGAGTTTTTCTGGCTATTCTTGCTTGTTTATTGTCACCTATAAACTTGAGACTGGCTTGTATAGTTAAAAAAGAAAAATCCAGTCAATATTTTTTTTGGGATCACATTAAATTTATAGATAGTCCTAGGAAGAGTTGATGGCTTATAAGATTTTTTTATACAGATCTTATAAATTTATAATACAGTTATTCAGAGGTGTCTAGGAGGCAGCTGAATGTGCAAATACAGAGCAAAGCTTCAAGCAAGCATGGGGCTCTGAGGCAGGGGACTGGGAGGAATGAGTAGTATGAGGATTTTGTGATAGGGGACTAGGCAAGGTGGACCCTTATGCCCATTCACCATTGGTTCATGTACACTCTGATGGTCTTCCATGACTGGTATGAGACCTGTCCTTAACTAAATTTTCTTTGTTTCTCTCTTCGACTCATTCATGTTACTGCCATGTACCCAGATTGCCACTGATTCTCACATATCTTGTCCTCAGTTGTCTTGTGGTTAGATGGTGTTATCCATGCTTTTCAATATTTGGGCAGTAAAGATATTATTAGTGGTGTTGATTAAAAAATAATAGCAATTACATCCATGGCACAAATATTCTGTACCTAGTTATCTATCAATTGATTGATTCGTAGATACAGATTATATCTTGATATAATCTATATAATATGTATACCAGCTGTCTTAGTTATCTAGTGCTGCTATAACAGAAATACCACAAGTAGATGGCTTTAACAAACAGAAATTTATTCTGTCACAGTTTCGGAGGCTAGAAGTCTGAATTCAGTGCGCCAGCTCCAGGAGAAGGCTTTCTCTCTCTGTCGGCTCTGGGGGAAGGTCCTTGTCATCGATCTTCCCCTGGTCTAGGAGCTTTTCAGTGCAGGGAACCCGGGTCCAAAGGACTTGCTCTGCTCCTGGCTCTTCTTTCTTGGTAGTATGAGGTCCCCATCTCTCTGCTTGCTTCTCTCTCCTTTTATCTCTTATGAAATAAAAGGTGATGCAGGCCACACCCCAGGGATCAGGGCTGTGACCTGAGTAAGGGTATTGCATCCCACCCTAATCCTCTTTAACATAACCTAATCTTGCCTCATTAACCACAGGCGGAGATCAGGATTTACAACACGTCGGAAAATTACATCAGATCACAAAATGGAAGACAACCACATAATACTGGGAATCATGGCCTAGCCAAGCTGACACTTATTTTGGGGGGACACTATTCCATCACACAGTGGCTGCAACAGTGGGTTCGAGCATAACAACGATTGTGAGGATGGCGCAGGACCGGGCAGTGTTTCGTTCTGTTGTACCTAGGGTTGCTATGAGTCAGAACCGACTCGACGGCACCTAACGACAACAATAATTCAATCCATGACACTAGCCCTACTACAGTATTATGAAAGATTCTCTCCATTTCGCAAGGTGAGAAAATAGAGACTCAAGGTTAAGGTCATGCAGATAGTGACGTGGTAGAGCTAGGATAGGAACCCAAATCTTTCTGTCCCTAAGACCCGGGCTTTTCTCAGTTTTGCCACAAGAACCTTCCAGAAACTTTAGATTCTTAAAAAGAGAACAATGATGCTTGACAAGTAGTAATTATATATTTTTTTATTTTCATATTAAGCACTACCAAGGAGCCCTGGTAGTGCAAATGGTTAAGTGCTTGGCTACTAACCAAAAGGTTGGCAGTTTGAACCCACTCAGTGGCTCCACAGGAGAAAGACCCGGCAATCTGCTTCAGGAAAGATTACAGCTGAGAAAACCCTATGCGACAGTGCTGCTGTATCACATGGGGTTGCTATAAGTTGGAATCGACTCTGCGGCACTTAACAACAAACAACAACAACATAATCTAGAAATCAGATTTATAGAAAGTGTAAATAAAATATAAATCATGACAATAGTAAGTATCTAAGCACTACTTAAACACTTTCTAGCTGGAGAAATGGAGATACATCATGAGGACATGAATTGTGGATCAGAGGTTAAGTTAGGACTGGAATTCTCCAGACAGACTATGTTTGATTTATTCATGTTTTCTCCCCAGCATCAGCATAGTGCTTTTATCAAAATATCAAATATATGGTGCCTAATGACATTTTTTATAAATTATCTTTTGCTAGTTTTATCCTATTTTAAATTGAGAAAGAGACTGTGTTGCTAAAGTCTCTTCCAACTTACTGTCTCCTCTCCTGTTATTTTTTTTATGCCATTCTCAGGTTTGGTGAAACTTTAGCAGATTTCTTCACGTGTTATGCATGTTGTTCTTGCAGGGAGGATTAATGAGATACTTCAGGAAGGCTGAGCTTAACTTGTCAGAAGAGATTGTTATGCCACTAGGAATTCTTGTGGGACTGTGTTTTACATGAAGGGAAGAGCAAGTTTCAAAGGGTGATCCATATTGTACATAGTTTCTGCTATTGCTCCACATTATGTGCTCTCCCAGAAGCCAAAAGGAAGTG